AATGATAATAACAATCGAAACAATACCAATACCATTAACACTACAAATAATGATAATGGTAATAATCAAAACGAAATTATGATAATGATAATTAATTGAAATGAAATTATGATAATAATAGTTGATATTAGATTATGATAATGGCAATAATTAAAAAGAAATCATAATAATGATAATGAAGGTAGTAATAACTGCTGGAAGAGGCATAAGAAAGAGAAAGGAGAGGGAGTGAGGCAAAAGAGGCGGAGAGGAGGTGATGCGGTGAATTGAACGAGGAGAGGAAAATAAACTGTCCTCACTTTTTTCGTTCCTTTAGCTTTTTGTTGTTTCTCCCTTGTTCTTTCCCACCAGCTCTTTATCTCATGTTCCCTACTCCGGTCTCTCTTCTTTCTTTCATCACGCTTTCCCCTTCTTTGTTCCCCTTTTTTATTCTATTTTCATCATGCTCCTCCCTTATCCCCCCCCCCCTTCTTTCACTTTCACTCTCATTCAGCTACTCTGATAACTGGAGTGAAGTGGACAAGATCTAGAAGTAAAAAACTCGTTCGATTTCCAACAACAGCTGACACGGTTTTTCACTCCTTCCATCTACCTTACCTGATATCTCCATCTCTTTCCTTCCCATGAGTTCTTTTCTCCCTTTCTCTGTCCCCTCTCCCTTCCTCTTGGCCCTTCCTTCGACCTCATCCTTCCTTCCATTCTCCTTCTCCCCTTCCACTTTCTTAATGCTGGATCCTTAGCTTTTCCTCACTGTTGCTGTGAGGAAATTGCTAAAGGCGAAAGTAATTAAACGAGAGAAAAGGGACAGATTGAAGGAAAAAGGATGAATGGAGAACTAAGATAAAAATAGAACTTAAGGCAAAATATCAAATTATTCCTTTATACTACATTTAATCATATTTTTTCGCTCCCCCCCCCCTTGCCTATCCCTTGTCCCCCTTCCTCCCTGCCGCTGGGTCGTCGGCCTTTTCGCACCATGGATGAAGGGGTAAAACTGCCATGGAAGGAGAGCAAGCAGAAAGCACGAAGACGAACGAAGTGAGAACATGATGCTGAATGCTCTCACATACCCATGACTGCGCTCAGAAATGCCCATTTAAGGCAGAGTCAGGGAGTACGACGTTGGCCCCTAATTATGAGCTGAAATTTGATATTTTATGTGCTCTTAATTGCTCTACCAAAATGTTAATTACCAACGCTTACGGATCATCAAAAACTGAAATGATTTTTATCATTGTAATTATATTTACAAACGGTATTCACATCCATGATATTAATCCAATAACTAGGATAATGATAATGGATATTAGTGAGTTTTAATGCCTGTAGTATTAGTACTAATGGTATGACTATCAGTATCGATAGTAATAATTATACTGAGTATAAAAAAGGTAATCATGATGACGATGGTGCTGTGTTTCAGCATTTGTAACATTAATCAACTGAACAAATTCAGATTAAAGCATTGGATAACTATGTTCATTTGATATGATTTTAGTCACAATTAATACCATATCAAAGAACATATCATTCAAACTCAAAGCCATTAGTGGTGACGTGGAGACAAGCTTCACGAGAAGAGAGGGTCGTGGCAGCGAATGTATGAAGCTCTTTTATCGAAGCTTAGGCTTCGCTGCTGAAGCAAAAGGCTTCTCAGTAATGAGCAGTGAACGCAAGATTCGCTGTCCAAGCAATGAGCATGAGACTCACAATGAACCAGGAGGAGGGCAGGGAAATTGTGATTTTCAGGGATTTTGGTAATTAACCAAAGATGGGATGCTGATGCAATGTTAAAATTATTATGTAAAGTGTTATTTCTTCATTAGTGATGGACATGGGTTATACTCTATGCGTTTGTTTATCAAACGATGTGACTACTACCAGGTGGTACCTGAGATTTCATCCTTTTTCTTGTTTATTTCTTTCTTATATCAGTGAATATTCATGAACACTTGGGCAAGTAAAGGTGTCCCCGAATTCCGAAAAGTTCGCAACCCTTCGCATCTACGTTCAACCATCATAAAAATTGTTTCCCGGACCCTCACTATAAGTCCCATGCGATTGTGAGCCTTATAGTGATGAGGCAGCGAGCCTTGTGTTCACTGCCAATTCCTAGGAGAAGCGCAATGCTTCCACAGTGAAGCCTATGCTCCGATGGTTGAATCTTTTACTCACTTGTTTACAGTGAATTCTCTGTTTACTGCCACGATCTTCTTTATTGGTGAAGCTTCTTGTCTCCACATACGCCCAGATGGCTGCGAGTCTAAATAATATTCGTTATAATGACTGAAAGTAATCGGGTAGGATAGGGATAGGACGGAGGTAGGATAGGGCGAGGAAAAGGGAGGTAGGACGACGAGAGAAAGGAGTGGGAGAGGGATAATTTATTTTATGTCGCTTTTATCAGTAATGGAAGAAGAGGATCATTTATTAGTGCCATTATATCCTAACAAAATGTATAACTAATATTAGCGTTACTTTGATCATGATCATAATAGCT